TCTTCCTAGAACAAGAGCAAGGTGAGGGGGTCAAGCTGCCCCCAGAGGCCAAGCCCCACACACCAGGGGCCACTGTCCTGGCTGTGAGCCCCTCTCTCCTAGCTCCCAATGAATTTGGTTTCATGACCCACCTAAACCATATTCAAATCTGAGTCATTTAACTATTCAAAGGGGTCATATTTACATGAAAGGAAAATATTCCCAGTAACTTTCTTAACAATTCTGAGCTGCTTGGCTGACTCATGTCATGCCAGACGCCACCGCCGAGCTCGGTGACCCCACTCCCTGGCCACCGTGTTGGAGTGCCTGGCTCTTTGCCAAGGAGGGTTCATTAAATTACAGTGCAGGTGAGCAGGGAGACAGAGCTGGATTCTAGGCGATGATCACGGAGAGCACATTCAAAATCCCTTAACAGAAGGTAACGGCATGGCCCCTCCACTGAAGGCACCATCTCCCCACTTTTGAGTCCCCTGATCCTCACCGGCTTGCTCAGCCATCAGGTGCCCCATGACACACAGGTGGCCACGCGGGGAGCACCAGCTCTCAGGCCGGCCCAGTCCCACTGGCCTCAGCAAGTTCCACATGTCAGAGCTGTTAAAAGTGTGTCTCACTCTGAGAAATAATTCACTTCAGAACCACATACCCTTCTCGTTTCTGAACGACCACAAAAAACTGTATTGGTGCATGACATTAATTAACACATGAAATACTTCTGGTCAGGGCTCCCTACGGGCGGGCAGCATTCTAACCTTGCAGACCCCGCCCTGCTGAGCCCCCGGGCACCTGCCCCTCACAACACGCAGTTCCCAGATGGTCACTCCCTCACTCGCGTGTGCAGGGCAGGACAGCCACACCTCTGCCTTGCGCATCAGGCCAGCACTGCCGACAAGAATCACCAACTCCGGCCACAGCCAGATCTCTCATCTTTCACAAACTCTGAGAGGCGGCCGTCACAGATGATGTTATTTTTCATTTTAAGGAACATCCCCTTCAGCACGTGCTGGGGCTGAACTGCAGGTGGACCCCCAGGCACTGCTGTCACCTCTCCAGACAGCCACGGAGTCTGCTGTGAGTGAGGCCAGATGACAACTGTGCATGTACTGGAAATAAAACGAAGCAGAGCGATCCACGCCAAGACCGTGCTGTTGGAGGCAATGTGCTTAGCAGGCTCGGGAACGCTGCCTCACAGTGGCACCGGGACATGGCCAGGCCCGTGGCATGACAGACAGCAACAGCTTCCCAGACACCGTTCCCCCAACAATCTGCCAGCAAGAAAGATTTACAAAGGCAAATAGGATGGCCTCATCACAGCGCAAACAAACCGTATTTAATGTTCCATAAATACGCACGCCAACGCCTCAATAAAGGTCCTTCGTCCAGCCCGGGGCCCAACCTGGGACATCGTTCCTCAGAGGTACTGCAATATTCCCCCTGGTCAGACGCACACATCACTGTAAAGCATCCTTTTTGAATTCTGTTTTCAAGGAATTAAAAAATATCCGAGTTGTTCATGGCTAGCTGAGATCTTCCTTTGAAAAGCACAACACGGAACTGAAATATTCCAATCTGCCAGGTAACTCCACCCTCCACGGGAACACCTCTGGAACCTCAGGGGGTGAGCTGTGCATGGTAATAGCAGGAACGCTCTCCTAAAACACTGACCCTGAACAACAGCACATTCCTCATTCAGCACTGTCCTGGGACCTCTCTGCTCACCAGTGTCTCTGCCACGGGTCTTCCTGCTGCAGCCCCTGACCAGCCAAGGGCGCCTCAGGCCCTCTTGGGGAAGATACATCCTATTTGGTGAAAATGGACTTGAGAATAAAAGTCTTCCAAAGCTTCATTTCTGCATAAGATGTTCCGTTTCCACAGGGAACCATTAAATGCCCCAGCAGTGGGCACAGGCCAGCAGCAGACCCGGGCACACAGAGGTTCGGAGGGTGGCCCTGACTGCCAGGGAGGCTCCAGCCCAAACATAGAGGCCTTGGCCAATTTCCTCCGAGTTGTCACGGCGACCGTGCTGGCAGCAGCCAGGCTGGCCAAAATAACTTAGAAAACAGGAGCCCTGGGGCGGGAAGCAGGGCACGCCCGCCTCCCAGCTGACAGCGAAGCAGCTATTTCCTGAGCCCCAGAAGGGAGCGGGGCCTCCTCTCTGCAGAGGGAAGCCCAGGGCCTGCTCCTGGGTGGACACAGCGAGGAGCCAGACCCTGGAACTCCAAACACCGCTCCCATCCCGCCTGGGAAATTATTTACAGCATTCTCCTTTCATTGTCCCAACAAATGGTTATTGAATATCTATTCTTCGCACCTGCCGAGCACTTTCGAAATAAAGAACAAGGCACAGCCCCTCCCTCAAAGTGCCCCGTGAAGACCTAAGTCCAGCGAGATGGAAGGGGTGGGGGCCACACACAACCGCCCTGCGGCTGCAGCCCTTGACCCTGGTACACTGACCTCAGCTCTGCCAGGACGTACAGCCCCTTCTCGGGGGATCCGGTTGACAGACTGCCTCTTGGGCTCAGGGCTGGCCACGTCCTTTACAACAAAGCTTCACTTTCTGTGCTAAGTCTAATCTATAATACCCAGTTTGCCTTGCTTTGCAATTGATCTCAGACTTCTTCATTTATTCATTTATATCCAGGTGCATCCCAGAAATAACGTGAAGTAGTTTCTATCACTTGTTAAAGGCTGGAGAGTCAATGTAATCATTTAACAATGTGATATAAATAATTAACATCATTGAATAATTAATTATCAAAATGCAGTAATGATGGTAATAAAAAGAAAAGAGAAAACAGCACGGGTGTCTCACAGGAAAACATAATATGTACACTTAACGTACATGATACATAAAAAACCTTTTCCAGCAACTTCTTGACACCATAAAAGGAGGAAGGGGCTCTTCTCAGCTCTGGCCTCTCCTGCTCGGCGCCCCCACTCCTAAAGCCCAAAACCACGGTGGTCTCTGGAGGGGCAAGCACCCAGCAGAGAGGTTTCACAAGCAGCGTGGAGAGCCAGCAGCTCAGCTCTGCGGGGTTCTCAGGGAAGAGTGCAGCTCCAGAGGGCCCAGGGTGCTAGTGAGGGTGAGGGTCACAGCTTCACTCGTTCTGCTCAAGGAGCATTTGCAGGGAATGAGCCCGGTGGGTGCTGGGGAGGACTGTGTCCTGAACCCACCTGGGAGGCCACCTGCTTCCGGGTCAGGAGGGACCCCAAGTTCACCAGGGTCCCCACATCCGATGCCACCAGGAAGTCTGCCCACCTCAAAATGGTGTAACAACTGGCGTCCTTGTGAGACTAGGCCTCAAGGGGCAGACTGGCCTCGTATGCATCTTCCCGGATAAGCCTAGAGTTACCTGTGCAGTCACAGGAGGATGCCGGCGGTGCCCTCCCGCTGCCGCTGCTGTTACGCAGTCACGTGTGCACGGAGGCAGGGAAGTGGCCCTTGTCACTGGGCATGCGCTGAGCACCTGCCAAGCCAGACACGGCGCCCAGTGCGGCACAGCCCACCCTGGGGGCCCGGCAGACCCGGCTCCATGGGGATAACTGCCCCCTGTGCTTCCTTCCAGGAGGCAAAGCAGTGAAATCTCCAGCCCGGGCTGAGGGGCTGGGGCTGCACGCTGTCCTGCAGCACCCCCGCGCCTCTGACTGGGGTGTAGGGGCTGGGTTCCGGCCGCACTGCCCCTGTTGCAGGCCCACGGTCAGTGATTCACACTGTGAACGACCGGGGAGTGTACTGGAGGTCCCACCCGACCGGGACGACTGCACAGGCGTGAAAACCTCCGCCCCGACATATCCCAGAGGGGCCACCCCGGTAACCACACTCTCGTGGGACCGACTTTCACTCCCTAAAGAGAGGTCAGGAGTGGGGCGACACTCCTGCATGGCACACCCAGGTAGAAAACTCTTCTGCTGAAATGCCCTGGCTCAAGCTCTGAGGACTGGAACCAGCTCTGGAAGGCGGCGCCAGGACCACAGGCAGCCCGGGTGGGAAGCACCTCTGGCGGGGCTCTCTCCCACCCTCATTGGCCTTGGCTCCCACTGTCTCCAAAGACCTAGAACCCAGGCACGGGCAGGGAAGACGTTTGGGGAGCAGAGGGTCATGAACCGCAGGCAGCACGGGTTTGGTTGAAGGACTGATTTTCAAAAATGATCGAGACATTGGACTTTTTAAAAGAGAGTAGGGAATGATACGGAAAATATGACCCTCATCACAGACTCGGAGGTCCCTGCTTGCCAAGCTCCTCCGGCTTCACCTCCGCACAGGGGGGGCTGCCGGGGAAGCAGACACGAGGCCTTCAGGATGGGCACAGACAGGGTGCACGGGCACCAGCCTGGGGTGACCTGGACAGAGGAGACCCCGGGCAGTGGGAGAGGGGCCCAGGCCCAGGGGTGCCCACCCCACTCACTCGCTGCTATTCGGAAGTGGAGAGTTATCTGTGGTTTGTTTACCTGGAAACTTTATTTCTGACACAGAGAAGAGAAAATGAAAGAAAAGGCTGGGGTCATGGTAGCTCGGGGAAAACGTGAAAGCTGGAGGTTTACGGGGCTCTGCGGGGTGTGGGGGGTCGGCGGGGGGGGAGGGTGGCGGCGGGGGGGAGGCCGGCGGCGGGGGGGGGGCCAAGGAAAGTTGGCGGGGGCGGGGAGGTCGGAGGAAGGCGGGGAGGGGAGGAGGGTGGCAGGGGGCGGGGCGGAGGTCGGGGAGACAGTGTCTGGGGGAGCTGGGGCGCCTCTGCGCCTCTGTCAGCGCCGCCGACCCTCTGTCCGGGACCACCCCGTCCACGCCTGTGTCCGCGCCGCGCTCTCCCCAAGGACCCCGCCGCGAGCGCTCGGAGGAACCCGGTCCGAGCCCAGGACGCCCCGCACCGCAGCTCCCCCGGCCGCAGGCGCCTCTGCCCCGGGCGCACCGGGGACTCCAAGGGTCCCGGGGGAGCGACGAGGACGCGGAGGGGACTTGGGCGCCCCCAAACCCCGACCCAACCCCGCGCCCTCCCGGACGGACCCACCTGGGGCGGCCGCGGCGGCGCCCTCGTCGCGCTGGTTAAACTCGAAGAGAAACTCGAAGTCGAACTCCTGGTCCTCCAGCCCCGTCATGGCGGGTCGGGCCGGGGCCGGGGCGGGGGTCGGGGTCGGGGCCGGGGTCGCGGCGGCCCGGGGTTCGGTTCTCCCGGCGCTGCCCGCGCGTCCTCCGCGTAACGTGACCCCCGCCCCTCCCCCGTCCCGCCCCGCCCCCGCCCCCCGGGCGTTTCCGGGTTTACATAAACAACCGGCTCGCGGCCGCCGGCTTCCGAGTTTTAAATAAACTCCCCGGGCCGAGCGCAGGCCGAGGGCTCGCGTCCCCCCCGCCCCCTCGCGCGCGCGCGACCCCAGGGGTCCCCGGCCTCGTGTGCCCTGGGGGTCCCGGTCCGGCGCAGGCTCCTCCCGACCCGGGGGTGGGGGCGTCGGGACCCCACGGTTCCGCCCCCCAGGCACGAGTGGCACCAGGTCCCTAAGGCTACGCCCCGGGCGACCAAATTTTTTAAAAAGTTTTAAAAAACAAGTTTTCAATCGGGGCCTCCTCGGGAAAGCGGCTGCACCGGCGACCCCCGAGCGCCACGTGCGCGCCCTGCGGAGAACCGGGAGGGGGGAGGTCCCAGCCCGAGGCCGCCAACGCTGGGAACCCCGATTTCAGCCCGACGGCGCCGGGAAGCGCAGGGATTCTCGCTGGGTTCATGGCGCGCCCCTCGGCCTGCAACCCCCTGCGGGGGGCCCAGCACCCACCGGCCTCTCCTGCGAGTCCCCAGCCTACAAACACCCGCCCTGCGTGCCCCCGCCCCGCGGGGAACCCGCCGGTCCTTCCAGGGGCACCTCCAAAGATGACCCCTTTGAGCGGGGCGGGAAGGAGGGTTCGGGTCCCATCCCAGGCGGCCGGAAGCTTGTGTGCGGCTGGGATCCGGAAGGCCGGGCTGCTTAGCTGGGGGCCGCCCTGGGCCTGCCTCTCCCGCCGCGTGTCCTAACTTCCCCCGAGGTCTCGGCACCACATGCACCAGATATCTGGAATAGCAGGAGATGGAGGGAGGCTGAGGGCGGAGGGGAGTCGGCCCGGGTGGAGGGGTGTGCGTGTCAAGGCTGGCAACCCCAAAGCTCCTCGGAGCGCTCCCTCGGGCCTGCCCCGCTGGCACTGCCTTTTCCAGAGGCGAGAAACCCGCCAGTCCCAGGGTGGCCCCGGGCTTCTCCTGAGACCCTTTCACTGGCTGGTTTTCTGCAGTGATTAGCCATCGTTCGGTGTGGCCTGATTTAGTTTCTAATAATACTTCTGATTTTGGTATGGATGTTGGAGCGTTGTTTTGTTTTAGTTTGCCGTTTTTGCTGACCTTGGGCAAGTGGAAGTTCTGTTTTCTGTTGAGAAGCCACAACGTTTCATTTTTTCTCTTTTCATTGTATAGGTTTTTTTGTTTGTTCGAGACAAAGTCTCGCTCTGTCACCCAGGTTGCGGTGCAGTGGCACAATCTCTGCTCACTGCAACCTCGACCTCCCAGGTTCAAGCGATTCTCCTGCCTCGGCCTCCCGAGTAGCTGGGACTACAGGCACCTGCCACCACGCTCAGCTAATTTTTGTAGTTTTAGTAGAGATGGGGTTTTTGACCACGATGGTCTTGATCTCTTGACCTTGTGATCCGCTTGCCTCGGCTTCCCAAAGTGCTGGGATTACAGGCATGAGCCGCGGCGCCCGGCCTGTACATTTTTTTTTTTTTTTTTTTTTTTGAGACGGGTCTCGCTCTGTGCGCCCAGGCTGGAGTGCTTGGTGGCCGGATCTCAGCTCTGCTGCAAGCTCCTCCCGGGTTACGCCATTCTCACCTCAGGCTCCCAGTAGCTGGGGACTACAGGCGTCCACCACCTCGCCCAGCTAGTTTTTTGTATTTTTAGTAGAGAGACGGGGTTTCACCGTGTTAGCCAGGATGGTCTCGATCTCACGACTAAGTGATCCGCCCGTCTCGGCCTCCCAAAGTGCTGGGATTACAGGCATGAGCCGCGGCGCCCGGCCTGTACATTTTTTTAAAAAAACTCCAGAAGCCACCTTTTTAACCCCTCCCAAAGTGCTGGGATTACAGGCATGAGCCGCGGCGCCCGGCCTGTACATTTTTTTTTTAAAAAAAACTCCAGCCACCTTTTTAACCCCACCATAAAATTATACACAAATGACAGCCCTTATCATCTGTTTAGACTAAAACTTTTTGCTAAACTGTCCCGCCTGCTGGTGGCCCCAGGCCGCGGGCCCTGCAGGGATGGAGGCTCACTGTGCCGCTGTCCTAGGACTGCACTGGTCTCCATCCCAGAGAAGGGGTCGGTGGCGCTGCCCCCCTGCTGCTCCTAGGAATTACCCTGCCCCCCCCCCCCGGCCCCCCGCCCCGCCCCGCCCCCGCCGCCAGTGCTGGGCTTCTTTCCTGCAAATAGTTCAGAGCTATTGGTCCAGATTCAAAGCTGCCCGTTCCACAGACACTGGGTGTCTCCATGGAAGTGTTTAGTTTGGACGCATCCTCCCAGAGGTTGGGGATGTCTGCGGAGGCAGAGGCCCCGCTGGGTGTGATGAAGCGGGGTGCCAGCGCCGTGCCATTTTCTAATCTGAGCTGGGAAACAACGCCGTGAAGTGGCAGAGAACAGGGTGAGCTTTGTTTGGTCCCAGCCCGTGGGGCATTCTGTCTGGAGCGACTTCTGACTGGGTGGCTACCTACAGGCCTGTACTTCTCTGCATTCTCCATGAGGAAGCAAGCCCAGGGCCTTCAGGAACCAGGACGCCTAATGAGCGTCCACCCAGATGGTCCCAAAACCCGACGGACGCAGGGGAGGCGCCCAGGTCCTCAGATGGGCCAAGAGTGGCTTCGTGGGGCCTACTCAGAAGGACTCAGCGTTTTCCCCGGTGGTCTCGGTGATGGCCGGTGTGGAAACCACGCGTTCCCCCACGCCACCGGCCTGTATGTCTCAAGGACTAGATCACACTTTCCGGCTGGCCCAGTTCTGCAGCCCTCATAAAATACACCCATGTCGGTCGGGGCGTCACTGCCCGGCGCACTGCCTTGCAGCAGGGACCTTTTCGAACTTATTTTCTTCAATAGGAAACACGAAAAATAGCCACTACCCCATCGTGTTTTTTCCTTGTGTAAAAGAAAATGGCTCCTTACTACAGGTCGGCCACCGGCTCTTCAGGTACAGAGATCTGAACTTGGCAAGACCTGCCTTTCTAAAGGGAGTGATGATAAACACTGCAGCGTAAGTGTCCCAGGATTTAAAACCGAAACTCCAACAACAACAAAATTTTTTTTTAAACTCTACTACTAGCAAGAGCACATTGTGTAAAACACTGACACGGAACATGATGTTTAAACACGTAAACATTTCCTAACATTGGGATGAAATGGTGTCTACCTCCCGTCCCGTGAAGCGTCAGGGCACCGACCACACGGATCCCCTCCGTGGAGCTCACGGCCCTGTGCTCAACTCTAAGACCCGCGAGTTCTCCTGAGCTGCTGGAGCCCGGTTCTCAAGCAAGCCCCGCAGTTACTAGGGTCGCGCAGAAAGCGGCAGCGCTCGGAAGGACGTCTGCCCTTATGAAATGCATACGTTGGCAGGTGTGCTGGCGCTCTTTAAATAAATTACATAAAATGTTTCAGAGCTGGTAAGGAATGTGGAAAAGCGTCTCCCAATTTCCATTAGCATTTGCAATCCCTAATCCCTAACTCGGGCGCTCACACCTCTCCAAGGGTATTTTCAAAGCCACCTGCAGGAGCCCACCCGGCACCGCCAGCGGTGTGGGGCGGGGACCGGCCAAGTCGCGGGGGGGAGGGTGGCATGTGAGGCTGCGCCGCAGGGGGCTCTCAGCGCCCCCGACACCAGGTTTCAGGGACCCACACAGTGCCGTCTTTTTTTCACTATAAAGAAGCAGCTCAGAACTTGGCGGTTCCTTTTCAAACTCGCCTGAAACGTCTTCTCTGGCTGGAACTCCTGCCTATAGGATTTCAAAATGGCTTAAATTCGGGCTGTGCCGCGGCCGCGCTTTGGGTCTTCTGGTCCTGCAGGTCCAGGCGCCGGCGTGACGGGCTCGGCCCTGGGGCGTTCGGGGGCGCGGCGCGGGGAGACGCCGCCACGAGCTCGGGGTGGGATTGGGGGGCGCAGAACCCCCAAACCGCGCTCTTGGCGCCAGAGGGTGGCTCTGCCTCGCTCGGGAAGACACGGGGCATCCTTCACGCCCAAGGAAGCCTCCCTTCCTCCCTCCCACGTGCCCTCTGCGGTCCTGACGGCCCAGCCTCGCCCGTCCCCAAATCGCTGGCCTGCGAGCCGCTTCCTCGGCGGGACCCGCAGCGGCCTCGGCTCGCGCCCTCAGCGCTGGGACAGAGGAGACACCTATTGGCAGAAGGCGCGCTCGGAACCGGGCTGCCGGGAGCTGGGGGAACGCCGTTCGCGGTCCGCGCCGCGCCCCTCCCTGGGCGCACAGACCCGGCCGGCCTCGCCCTCGGGCCGGGACCCCTGCGTGCGGGCGACGGGGGCAGGGGCGGGGGCGCGTCCCGGGCCGTGGGGGGCGCGGGGGTCCGGGGACGGCGGCCGCGCGGGGCTTACCTTCCTCTGCCGACTTCATGGTGCCGCCGGCGCGCGGCGCGGGCCCCAAAGTTTCTCCGCTCCCGAAGACCGCAGCCGCAGGGCCAAGTGGAAACTTGGAAGGGACTGGAAAGCTGGTGCTTGGCATCCGCGCGGCGGCGGCGGGGAGCGGAGCAGCGGGCGGAGGCACGGGAGGAGCAGGCGCCCCGCGCCGCCCGGGTCGGGTCTCCGGGAAGGCAGCCCTCGCCCCGGGCTCAGCGCCGCGCGCCCCGGAGGAAAGTCATCGAGGGGCGTGTGCGCGCGTGGCGGGGCCCGGCCTTGGCCCTGGGACCTGCGCGGTGCCTCCGAACCCTGCCCGCGCCCCGGTGCCCGCGCCCGGCCGCTGGGATCTGGCGCGGCGACTCCGCCGGCGAGTTCGGAGCCTCTGAGTCTCGCTCTGACGCAGGGCCGCGCTCTGCCTCCTGCCTTTTTAAAGCTGGAAAACACCTCCCCCGCCTCCCCGCCGGCCCGGCGGCTCCCGCGCCCCCTCCCTGCCGTGACATCACGCCCCTGCTGCCCGGGCCCGCGCGGGGCCCCGGGGACGAGTCGCAGAGCGTCCGCCCCTCCCCGCGCCACGGCAGCCGCTTGCCCGGGGGCAGGGGCGCACGGGGAGGGGCGCGCACGGGGAGGGGGGCGCATGGGGAGGGGGGCCGCACGGGGAGGGGGGCACACGGGAGGGGGGTGCACGGGGAGGGGGGCACACGGGAGGGGGGTGCACGGGAAGGGGACGGGGGCGCAGGGGCGGGAACAGGGACTCCGAGGGCAGGGCAGGGGGACGCTGGGGCTGGCGGGGGAAACGGGGGCGAACGGGCCAGACGGGACGCCTGAGTCCACGCGGGTGTCCGGAGAGAGCCCGGCCCCGCTGGAAAAGGGGCGGGGGGCGGGGGCGGGGTGCGGAGAAAGCCCGGCATGCTGAAGTCATTATGTAAAATCGCAGGCTTCCCCCGCTGTGGAAATTTGGAAAAGCGCTTCACTGGCAGGCCCTAGAAAGGAAATTCCCATCCCGCTAAATTGCTAACAGATTGCGTGGCCGTCCCGGGCGTCGAGTTATTGTCATTTTTATTCTGTAAATATCTGCGCGACCCAGACGGCCTGTGGCAGGGGCCGGCGTGGGGAGGCCGAGGGACGCGCTCACCTGCCCTAGCCGCCCGGAGGGCGGGCGTTTTGTGGGCGCGACTGGGAGGCTTCTGACGGGGGGAGGGCCCCCCGGCAACTCACACTTTCCTCTGTCACGTCTCCCTGCGTCTCCTCGGGCTCAGCTCAGCTGCCAACACTGCACCGCATTTTCTTGTTGGCTTTGGATGGAGGGGGTTGGAGGTTAAAGTGTCTGGTGTGTAGAAATCATAAATCGATTGCACGACACCCTTATGTGATTTAAACTAAACCCAAAGGCTAAACTCGTGTCTGCTGCGGGGCCCAGGAGGTCCACAGACCCCCAGGGATCACTGTGCCCCGTGGGTGCCCCCCACAAGCGCCTCCTCCCTGCAGGGGGAGGCGGTCGGGCGCTGCAGAACCCGCGAAGGTGCGCGGCCAGAGCCCGTCCATCCACGTCCCAAGGCCTGGCTCCATTCGGCCGCCGCGACTCAGCACAAATGGAACCCCCGCTTTTCCACCGCAGGCCTCGGCCTGGAGAGACGCGCCCAGATTAGCGGGGTGGTGGCCGCCTCGCCCTTGCGGCGTCGGGGCCATTTCCAGGGGTCTCTACCTGCGGGGCCCCTCCCGCGCCGAGCCAGGCCTGGCACGCGCCCCAGAGCACCGGGCGCTGGGAGGGGAGGAGGGGGCCGCGGGAGGACGCCCAGGCCAGTGGGCGGGGGTTCTGGGGGGCTCCAGCGAGGCCGCGCCCCCACGCCC